ATTTATTTATCTATCTAATGCCTATGTAGGAATAACACTTAAAAAAAAGAGAGAGAGAATTTTAAAAGAAGGGAGAAAAAAGGGTTTGAAAACTGTATAATGAATAATAGAAGAGCAAGTTGAAGCAGAATAGCAATCTGGTTGAGACATCTTTTAAAAACCTTTTAAATGGGAGAAAAGAGGGAAAAAATGTATTTGAAACCTGTGTATAATCAGTAACGGAACATCAAAACCAAGAGAAATAAAAATGAAATGACATGGATTTTTAAAAAAATAATAATAAAAATATTTTTAAAAAATTTAAAAGGGATTAAAACTGGGAGTATATATAATTGTTTTAAGAAGTAAAAATTAAAAGGGTAATAGAAAATAGAACAGGTAAAACAGATTTAAAAAAAAAGGGGGGGTGTTCTCCTGGAGACTGTATGCTCTTAATGTGAAGTCTTTCTGTCTTCGCCCTGTTTTGGAAGCTCAGCTTACTGTTTCCAGAAGCCCTCCCTTGGCACCTTCGTCTGTGCTGCTCCCAGTGCCTGTCAGCATGCAGCTCGTGCTCCCTCCCAACATTGGATCAGGTGCAGCTCTCCTTTGCTGTGGGCGAGCGGGTCACTGCCCCTCCCGATGCTGCAGTCAGATGTTGCAGACTGGCCAGGTAGGAGGGCAGGTCGCACCCCCTCCCAGCACCACGATCAGGGGCTGCGTTCCTGCCCGACAGGCGGGGGGCCGCCCACCCTCTCCCCGCACTGGTCAGGTCGCTCCACAGCTCTGTGCTGCTGCGTGCTCCGTAGGTGTGCTCAGGGAAGACCGAGGAACAGCCCCGTCCCTGCTCCGGGCCAAAACCCAGCTCCTTGTTTGTCTTGGCAGAGCACGTTCTCTGAGGAACCAGGACGGAAGGATCCTATCTGCCTCGGGCTGTAGACAAGCCTCTGTCTGGCCTTTGAGGCTGCTAAGCCCTTAGGTGCAGATGCAGGTTTCGCCCCCGCCCGGGTGCTCAGCGCTGCAGGATATGGCAGCTGTGCACACTTTATTACTAGTAAGAATCAGAAAACCTCTGACAAAGGTGGAACTTGGTAAACTGGGATCTCCTGGGGGAACTGAAGAACACTGTTTGTTCAGATTGGAGGCTGATCTAACTTCCCACGCTCTGGGCTCCACCCTGGCTCCCCACTGCTTGCAGCAGCTGCCTCAGTGGAGCAGAGCCTGCAGAGAACACACCAAGTGGTAGAGAAGGGGCCCGGGGCATTCCCAAGAGTGCTTGTCCCTATCTAGTTCTAATTTTAATCCAGTACGTCCTCCCAAGGGAAACACCATCCATAGCATGATGCCTGTCCTTGGAAACTATTTTATTTTATTCTTCACCCACTTTTGACTGGAAAGGGGCTGGGGCTGGGGCTGGGGGCAGACTGAGGCTGAGGGCTTGAGTGTGTAGCCAACACTCTCCCAAACGAAGTCTTTCTTAAAGACAACCCAGAGGTCTTTCAGACAACCAGGAAAATAGCTGTTCCTCGCAGGGGAGGAAATCAGCAGGAGTATCAGAGAAGTCCTGCCTGTACTTTTGTGAGGCCACTTTGCCAATACTTGCCCCTGCCCATTCATTTCCATTGGGATTAATGTGATGAACAGTTTAGTCATTCAAGTCCCTCCATGACGGTCTCTTTGACATTGCCCCCAGAATCTTAGAAACAGACCTTGACTTTATTTCAATTGGATTTATCCCAAAGCCACACTATGTACAAGGCAAAGAAGTCACTACTGACATAATCTGTATCCCAAGTTAGGCTCTCTCCTGTCATCTAACCAAAGTCACCCACTTGGGTTATAATGTGTGCATCAGATGATAACATATAACAGTAGTTCCTAGCACATACTAGATAATTAATAACCACTTGTTGAATGAATTAATGAATGCAATTTTACAAACTTGTGATAACCCCTAAATTTAATACAACCCTCCCGACCCCCTTTGAAACTCTGCTACGTCAACCCTTTTTCCCCAACAGAAGGATTACGTTTAACAAAATCTGTCTGCCCTCCCTTGTTCCAAGATGTGTGCCAGCATGTCTCCTCTTCCCTGATTCCTTTATACGCTTTAGCTCCAGCCAGCTGAGATCTCACTGAGGTAGAGGCTGCTGAGAGCCAGAAGGGTATTTAATGAGGATTCGCACACTGGGACCTGGACCTTCAGCTTCACATGAAGTTCCTGCAGCTTAGAGACACAAAGAACAGGCCCTCATCAATGAACATTATAAAAACAAATCAAGAAACAAGTATGAACATTGCTGTGGTATACAGCATAACAATTGCATTCTCAAGGAAAAGTGTTTCTAGAATAAAATGTATCTTATGTTCTAAAAGCCTGGGTATTCTCAAAGACCTGGTATTATGGGAGAGAGGAAGTTAGGAAAATACAGAAAGGAGAAAAAGAGAATGTTTCATTTCAGCCTCTGTAGGGTGTCAACCAATCGGTAGCATCCGTCCAGAGTCCACCACCTGTGAACTTAAATGCATTTGGGAGAAGTTTTCCTTTAAAAGATTAATTAACATATTCAATAGAATCTTCTCTTTCTTTAAAACAATGCATATTATATACACTCATACACATGTATAATATGAAACGGGGAAGATCCATATGTAGAAATAGATATATTAATGTGTTAAAAATGGTTATTGCTCGATGGTAGGATAATGAAAAATTTTGACAGATTTTCAAATTTTCTATGATGTAAATAAAAGAGTTTTTAATCATAAGGGGGCATCCAGAAATTGATTTCTCTTTGGAATATGCCTCCATTCTTTTTCTACATCCCTGAATTCAGTGAGGAGCTTGCTTTGGGTTACGGCTTCCCACCTCATTTAGTATCCAGATTTTCTTGTATTTATTACAAGCCAAATGTCAGGAAAAATTAGTCACATTCTATACCATAGGCAGTCCCAATCTCTCCTCCTGAGATCTGGGGCAGGTTTCTCGTCTTGCTAGGGCTTTAAGGCTTTCTTACCTTTGAGTGGCCTCGGCATCTGTTCCTGAGGTTGTCGCTTGGTTGGGTCTTCTTGGCTCCAGCTCTGCCCTGACAGATTTATGAAGCAGGGCCTCACAGGACCTTCTTGTTGGCCTTCGATCCTCGGGTCCCGCTGCAGGGCTACCTCCTCTTGGGACACAACTGCAGGCCACTTGCCAGGTGGGTAGGTGCCCCCAGCAGGCATCTGGGGTGGGAATGCCGCTGCTGTTGCTGCCGCCGCCGCCGCTGCCACTGTTTCCACTTCTGAGACCACCGTAGGTGGGGGAGGTGGTGGGTATGGGAATGGCATGGAGAATGGCATGGGCAGAGGGGGCTGAGCCACCTGGGACCAGGGATTCGGGGGTCCCGGCATGTAAAGCAAACCGCCCGTCGAGACATTCTGGGCTTCCCTCTGGACCTCCTCCATCTGCCTACGCTGTGATGTCGCCACCAGCAGCTTGTTTCGCTCCTCAGTGGTCAGAGGCCACGCTTCAGCCCTGAAGTGCTGGGCTCGAGATCCGGGTACGACCTCCTGGGGCTGCCTCTCTGCCTGGAGCAGCTGCCCACGCAGCTCCTCGCGCTCGGTCATCGCCTGCTGCAGGTCGTTGCGTGTGCAATGCAACTGCTTGGCCACCTCCTCGTGCTCCTCGCGCAGCCGCTGCAGCTGGGAGGCCAGAGCCCAGGCGGCCGTCTCGCGCTCCCCAACCTGCTCCTGCAGCCGCCGGACTCGGCGGGCCTGCTGCTCCCGCTGCCTCGTGGCCACACGCACACTCAGGGCCAGCGCGCTCCAGACGCAGGCCCTCTTGACGGCCGGCGGCACCTGCAGGTCGGCCAGGATGGACTGCAGCTCATCCTCGATCTCGTTCCAGGGCCGCGAGCGGAAGGTCGAGTAGAAGTCTGGACCGCCGCCGTTACTGAGCACCTCTTCGTTGATGAACATGACCACCTCGTTGTGGCGAAAACCGCTCCTGGAGTCCCGGAAGTCCACGGCCATGGCCGCCGCGGCCTAGTCGGCAGAGCCGCCGCCGCTGCTGTGGTGAGCGGTGGCCGCCAATGGATCCGCCTCTCCGCTCCTCACTCAGTCCTCCTTCAGTCCTAGCTCAGTCCTGGCCTCCTCCTCGGCAGCCTTTCCCTCTCACCCACGCGCTCTCCTAACAAGGAGCGAAGCGACCCGATCACCACACGAAACCCCGCCGGACGACGCGGTAGCGCGTCAGAAATGCGGGCCCCCACTCTCGCCGCAAGGCATGTTGGGAGCAAACTTACTCGGCTGAGCGCCCCCTGTTCGGCGAGCAAGTTGGGTGACTGCTCCTGGCTCCAACTAGGACGCACCTTCCTAGGCACCACGCCACCTACAGGGCAGGCTGGCCGGGTGACTGTGCCAGGGACTGCTGTGCGCCCCCAAATGATTATTTCGAAGAGCTTCTGAAGGACGGCACTTGGATACGCGGAACACATTTGAAACCTGGGAATCTGGTGAGTGGGTGTATGGGGGGCTCTTTTTGGTTCATCTCTTGCTTGCATAACTCGGAGCTACTATATCAAACTTTCTATATGGTATCAAGCTGTCTGCCCTCTTCCCTTCTCATCCTAAGCAGATGACTTTGGAGTTCCTGTAATCAACAAAATCAAGTGACTGAGACAAGTCCCTCAGTTTTCCTTGCTAAATCCTGTCTTCGTGCTCTAGATGGGTCCCTCCTATTTCGTTTTCTCCGGGACTTCACTACATCTTATTCCCCCTGTGTTTCCTGTATCTCTGCCCCCATCCCCTCCTGTGCTACTTGATATTTTTCTCCCAGATGGTAAACCTGTTCAGGTTCCCTCTGTACTTGGAATAATTTCCTCCCTCTAACCTATGTCCTGGCCTTTCTCTCTTCTCATTAGATAATAGCCTACACTATGGCCATTTCATTGTGCTCCCTTCACTATTCAGTCTGCTGCATTTTGGTTTTCACGCCCTAAAACTTGAGTGAAAATTCTCTGATAAGGTCACCAGTGATACTTCGGTGCAAAAGCGAGTGGATACTTTGAAAGTTAGTTTTCACGTGATTCTTCAGTAGGGTCTGAGTCTCTCCATCATTCCCTCTTTGAGACTGCATCCTGTCTTGGTTTCTGTAGCATCAAATTCTGTGGGTGTTCCTCCTATCCCTCTGGCTTATCTTTCTGTTTCTGTGAACTATTTGTTCTTCTTCTGCCCACAGCCCCATAGTTAGTGTTTTCTCAGTTTTATTTTCTGACCTCTCCTCTTTTCATTCTATATGTTCTCCTTGGATGAGCTTATTCACTCCCATAATTTTATTTGATTTTTATTTTTTCTCTGGCTTCAATTCCATCAGCTGTAAAATGAGAATAAAGATAGAACCTACCTTATAGAGTTGTGAAGGTTAAATATAGTAGTCTGTATAAAGTGTTTAGAATAACATTAGTTCTTATAATGATTAGATAGTTGCTGCTAATAGAAGTCAAATAGTGGTGTTGGTGGGGTGATAATTTTAACAGTCTATGCCCAATCACAGCCCCAGATCCTGTCTGGTTTTATTTATTTATTATTTATTTATTCATTTACTATTATATAAATATTTTTAATGAGATGCAGTTGATTTACAGTATTATGCACACATACATATACATATATATCATATCTTTATCCATTTGTTGATGGACACAGGTTGCTTACATATTTTGGCTATTGTAAATAATGCTGCTGTGAACATTGGGGTGCTTGTATCTTTTCAAATTAATTTTTTAAAAATTTTCTTCTGATATATACCAAAAAGTGGAATCGTTGGATCATATGGTAGTTCTATTTTTAGTTTTTTGAGGAACCTCAATACTGTTTTCTGCAGTGGCTGCATCAATTTACATTTCCGCCAACAGTGTACGAGGATTTCTTTTTCTCCACATCCTCACCAACATTTGTTATTTGTGTTCTTTTTGATGTTAGCTATTCTGACAGGTGTGAAGTGATATCTCATTGTGGTTTTGATTTGCATTTCCCTGATGATTAACAATGTTGAGCATCTTTTCATGTGCCTGTTTGCCACCCGTATGTCTTCTTTGGAAAAATGTCTCTTCGGGTCTTCTGCCCATTTTTCAATCAGGTTGTTTGTTTTTGATATTGATTTGTATGAACTGTTTATATATTTCGGATATTAAACCCCTATCGGTCATATAATTTGCAAATTTTTTTCCATTCAGTTGGTTGTCTTTTTGTTTTGTTGATGGTTTCCTTTGCTGTGCAAAAGCTTTTAAGTTTAATTAGATCCCATTTGTTTATTTTTGCTTTTGTTTCCTTTGCATTAGGAGACAGACACAAAATAAAATTGCTACAATTCATGTCAAAGAGTGTTCCACCTATATTTTCATCTAGTTTTATGGTTCAGATCCCAATTCGTTTTGAGTTTATTTTTGTATATCATGTGAGAAAATGTTCTAATCTCATTGTTTTGCAGGTAGCTGTCCAGTGTTCTCAGCACCACTTATTGAAGAGACTCTTTTCTCCATTGTATAGTCTTACCTCCTTTGTTGTAGATTTATTGACCATAAGTGCATGGGTTTATTTCTGAGCTCTCTATTCTGTTCCATTGATCTATGTGTCTGTTTTTGTGCCTGTACCACACTGTTTTGATTATTGTAGCTTTGTAGCATAGTCTGAAGTCAGGGAGCATGATACCTCCAGTTCTGTTCTTCTTTCTCAAGATTGTTTTGGCTATTCGGGGTCTTTTGTGTTTTCATGCAAATTTTTAAATGATTTGTTCTAGTTCTGTGGAAAATGCCATTGGTATTTTGATGGGGATTGCATTGAATCTGTAGATTGCCTTGAGTAGTATGATCATTTTAACAATATTAATTCTTATGAATCCACGAACAGGTATATCTTTCCATCCACTTGTATTGTCTTCAGTTTCTTTTATCAGTGTCTTATAGTTTTCCAAGTACAGGTCTTTTACCTTCTTATGTAAATTTATCCCTAGGTATTTTATTCTTTTCGATGTGGTTGTAAGTGGGATTATTTCCTTAATTTCTTTCTGATAGTATGTTGTTAGTGTAGAGAAATGCAATAGATTTCTATATATTAATTTTTCATCCTGCAACTTTACTGAATTCATTGATGAGCTATAATTTTTTGGTGACATCTTCAGGATTTTCTATGTATACTATCATGTCTCCTGCAAACAGTAATGCTGTCTCAGAGGTCTCTTAAACTGTAGTCATTTCTTTTTATTCTTTTTTCTGTTCATCTTCAGGGATTTCCATACACTGTCTTCCAGCTCACTGATCCTTTCCTCTGTATCATTTAGTCTACTGTTGATTACTTCTAGTGTTTTTTTAATTTCAGTTATTGTATTCTTCATCTCTGTTTGGTTGTTCTTTATATTTTCTAACTCTTTGTTAAAAACTTCCATCTTCTCACTCTGTTCATCCATTCTCTTCCCAAGTTCTTTCATCATCTTAATGATCATTACCTTGAACTCTTTCTCAGGTAGATTGGCCTTCTCTACTTATGTGGTTTTATCTTTTTCCTTCATTTGGAGCATATTCCTCTGTTGCTTATTTTGCCTAACTTGCTGGGGTTTTTTTTTTTTTTGTATGTATCTGGTAAGTTGATTATATTTCCTTGCCTTGGAGAAGTGGTCTTTTGTAGATGTCTTATGTGTCCCAGCAGCACACTCTCCTCTGATCACTAGAGTTACATGTTCCAGGGGTGCCCCCTATGTGGGCTACTTGGATCCTTCTGTTGTGGCAGGCTGACTACTGAGGGCAGTCTGGTAGACTCAGTTGGCCCCTGATCCAGTTGGCTCCAGGCCTTGCCTTTTGTGGAGGCTGCTGACCTTTGCTTGGTGGGGCTGAATCACAAAGCAGCTGGCTGCAAAACTGTGGTGGCTCCTGGGGCTAGTGCTGGCTCACTGGTGTAGTCAGGGTCCAGGAGATCCCAGAGCTGGTGACTGCCAACTGGTGCATGAAACCAGATCCTGGGGCTAGTGCCAGCCTGCTGGTGGGCAGAGTGGGCAGAGCCAGGACCTGGGCTCTGACTGCAGGGCCCAGGGGTCCCAGAACTGGTTCTTGACACAGCTGGCAGTGGGACCTCGGGTGTCTTGAAGCTTGTGTTGACCTACTTATGGCCATTCCCAGGGCTGGTGTTGGCCTGCTGGTGGGTGATCTGGATCTGTAGGCTGCAGGGTTGTGGTTTTCTGGGGTCTGGTGTCTGCCCCCTGATGGGTGAAGCTTGTTCCACAGCTAGAGGAGGCTTGCTGGTAGGCGAGGCCAGGGCCCAGCTGGTCCTAGGGCTGGACCTGGCCTGCTTGTGAGTGAATTGGGTCCACAGGCTGTGGGGCTGCAGTTTTCATGGGGCTGGTGTCCACTTGCTTATGGGTGAGGCAGTCCTAGGGCTTGAGCAGGCTCACTGGTGGGCAGGGCCTGGGATTCAGGGGTTGGTGTCTGCCCACTGTTGGGTGGAACTGGGTCCCAGGATCTCTGGTTGTGAGACCCTGGGGGTCCCAGATCAAGCACAGGCGCATTGGTGTGTGGGGCCTGCTCCTGGACCCTCTGGTGGACAGGGCCGTGTCCAGGGGTGGCCGTGGGCTCAGGGGTCTTAAGGCAACCTGTCTGCTAGTGGGTAGAACTGTGCCCCCTCCCAGTCAGTTGCTTGGACTGAAGTGTCCCAGTACTGGTGCCTACAGGTTGGTGGATATGGAAAGGGCTGGGTCCTGAGGCTAATGAGCTAGAGGGAGGATTCCAAAATGGGTCTTGCCAGCACCAGAGTTCATGTGGTAGGAAGAGCTTCCAGAAATGGCTGCCACCAGTGTCCATGTCCTCAGGGTGAGCTGTAGTTGCCTTTTGCTGCTCTGGAAGATTCTCCAGATCAGCAAGTAGGTCTGACCCAACCTCCTTTCAAATTACTGGTTCTGCCCTGGGTCCTGGAGCATGTGAGATTTTGGGTGCACCCTTTAAGAGTAGAATCTCTATTTTCCCACAGCCCTCTGGCTGTCCCAAAAGTAAGCCCTGCAGGTGTTCAGAGATTTGGCTTCCTGATGCAGTACCCCTGGGCTGGGAAGACCGATACGGGACTCAGACCCCTCTCTCCTTGGAGAGAAACTCTGAAATTGTAATATCCTCCTGTTTGTGGGTTATCCACCTGGGGGTATGGGCCTTGACTATATGTGACTCCGCCCCTCCTACCCATCTTGTTGTGGTTTCTTCTTTATATCTTTAGTTGTAGAAGATCTTTTCTTGTAGGTACTGGTATTTTTCATTGATAGGTGTTCTGTAAATGATGGTAGTCTTGGTGTGCCAGTGACAGGAGGTGAGCTCAGGGTCTTTCTAGTCTGCCATTTTGGCCTGATCCCACTCCCATAATTTTAAATACTACCTATATCACAAATCTAAGTAGTTCCAACTTAGACATCTATCATAAACATCAGATCAATACATTTTCTTCCATTGATATGTAATTATTGAACACATAGTAGATTCACTTGGCAGAAAGCAGTGAAAAATATTAAATATTGAAAAGTATCCCATTGGTGGAATAATAAATGAAAAAGTAAATTGATAAGCAAGGCAATGATAAATTGTGATATGTGCTATCAAGTTACTGTATAAGTTGATGTGAGAGATAGGGATGTCCCTCTACACAGGGGTTTGAGATTTTCCCCTGTAAATAAGGAATTTAGGGAAGGTCTTTATGAGAAAGTGACATTTGAGCTGAGACCTAGAATTCCAGTGGCAATAGTTGTGTAGAAAAGCTTCAAATCAGTGGGGGAGGGTATAGCTCAAATGG